GGTTTAATTTTAAGAAAAATGGAACATTTTAAGGGTTACCTGTAGAAAGTCTCCAATGTTGACAATTAACCCTCCAGGAACAGGCTTTACATTTACCCATTGATTCTCATGTTTTACCTGCAGTCCCTGGATCTGATTCTGCAGCAAAACTGTAACAATTCCAGGATCAGTGTGTGGTGTGATACCCAGTGTGAGATCTGCCTGAGGGCAATAAGGATATATATGCCCTACAAAAACCCTAGAATCAGAAAAAGTCAAATCCCTAAACTTGCCAGCCTCTAAACCTAATCCCAAAGACAGCAACTCCATAACTGTATCAGCCACCTTCTTTGCATTCTTGTCCCATTCCACCACTTCTTTCCTACAAATCCCAGGTATCTCCTCCACCTGCGGTGGCTCTGGAGACATCCAAACTTGCAGGGAGTCGTGCCAGCATGCGGCCTCAGCGCGGAACAAGTCGTTGTTACTCGCATACATGACTCCTCGTCCCTCTTCGCGTAAGTAGTGTTTTGCCTTTATCTCCATTGGCTGCTCGTGAAATGCCTTGATTGCAGCTATAGTGTCTTCCAGAACTGAAGCTTGAACACCATGATTGATCACTTGGAAGAAACCCCATATTTTTGCAGCATCTCGGATTTGTTCAATGATCTTAGACCGGTGATGATCAGAACCAACGTTGGCAAGATCAATAACGGGGATTTCGATCTGTACAGAGGAGGATTTAACATCGGAAAGAGTTTCAGGTGGATGTACAAAGAATCTTGGAATAGTGGTGATGCCAGAATCAGAGAGGCCTTTTACACCTATTTTAGAGTCATCAAACTCTTTCACTTCCTTCATTCTATCATAGCCAACTACACTTGCTCCAGCAGCTGCCATTTTTGTTCTTCAATTAGCCTGAGTTTTACTGCATATTTGGGAAGTATTTATAAATGGTTGAAATTATAAATAAATAGAAATGAATGTCAAATAAGTGTGAAGTATTTGTAGATCTCTAAAAAATGTGGATAAAAAGTTAAACGAGTATTTATAAATAGTTTATAAACAAGAGGAACATAGGCTTAGATTAATGAAGCTTCTAGAACTTGGATATTTCATATAAAAAGAAATTAAATTGCATGTTTAGTTTAAATATATGGAAAATGAGGTGTAGCGTAGAGATAGTCAAGACAGATACCGACCACAATTTTGAGTCTTGTTGTAATAGGACCATGGCAGATTATAGGAGTGCAACTTATAGTGCAATAAAAATATAGAAATATGTTGCCCCTCATGGGGCGGTTGAGTTGGCAGAGTATTTGAGTGCGGAAGTTTTTGGTCACGAGTTCGAGTTCATCTACCTACACTTTCTCGGTCAAGCTTGTCGCACAGAGCTTGTCTAATGCTGTTTACCTGACTGACATGGTTTGCAGACAATTGCGTTATCTTAAGGGTTTACCTATTGCGCACCCGAAGGATAGCGACTGCAGATTTCCATATATATATATATATATA